TTAAAGAAAGGCGAAAAGGACGGGGCTTGCAAAGTCATTTTACACCATGAACGGCAACAAGTCTTTTACTGGGGGGGACATGGCACTGCCTGGGAACCCATGGGACATGCTGAAATTCCACCCTGTTTGCCAGTAGAACGAGAAATGTGGTGAAAATGGAATCCAAACCTTGGGCTTATTGACATGACAGCTGAATTAGTGATATTTCTTGTGCCAGGAGATTCTCTCCAAGCAATGCTGGTGCTGAAGAAGCCATCGTGCGAGGCAGGCTGGCATCTAGGAGCCCTCCTCTCCCCGAGCGTGGAGGGATGGTGGTCCCATGTGGCCACAAGGCCCCATCCATACCTTTCGCTTTGGTTATATAGAATCCAACAGCTGCTCCATCTCTCCACAGAATTTTAGCCTCCTCTTTCCCAGAGTGAGGTAAAAAAAACATGTTATCGTCATCCAAATTCCTCTCCAATCTTCCAAAAATAACAACATTTAGAAGGAAAAGCACCATCCTTTCCCCAAATGACTGAACCTTTGAAGGAGAAACAAAAAGAACATCTGAATGAGGCGGGACAGGAAAATCAGGCTTGGTAAATTCGACGCTTGGAGTCCACCCAGAGGTCGGGGGCCAGGTGTGGGCTCCCCCATCGTCCAATTCATCTCAGGCTCCAAAGCCAGAACGTGGGTCCCAGTTTCTCACGGAGGTTTTCACACCCCTGACCTTTCACATAGTGGGCTTCCCAGAGTGAGGGGCAGTGCCGGGGGGGCCTCTGGCAGAATGTGCATAGACAGAGAACAGTCACAGCCAGTGACACCGGAGGTTACCCCCGGGCAGGCCACGTCAGTAGTAACACGGGTGTGTCCGGGAAATAAACCCAATCTGCCATTTTTAACAACAGCCTCAGAATTCTGGCCCTCAGAAGGAGGGTAAATCATTGGGGATTACTATCTGTATACAACTGGCACACCAAGAGAAACTGATTTCCAATGGCTTGCAATAGATTTTGAGAATCCCAGTTCCAGAGAATTACCGGGACTGACTCAAGGCCCAGCCCGTTCTCAGGCTACAGAATGGAGCCAACCACTTCTCACCCGTCGCAACGTCATCACAAGTGAGGAAACTGTCTTGCAGTCAAGGTCAGGCCCACGCAGGGCTTTCTCAGTAACCAGCCCAAACGACTTCCTGCTCCTGCCTGTTAAAATTCTCTGCACTTGTCTAGCCCGCAGATGGCAAGTACGTGGCATAAATAGAGGTCTCCCATTCCCACACCCACAGCAGACATAGCTAATCAATCCCCACACTATGGGCTGAGCCTGGATATGGTCTCAGAATCCTCCTAAAAGCAGCTGGTAAAATGCGGCACTTGAGATGAAACCAGGGAGGTCCTGGTTTATAGATGAGGAGACAGAAGCTCAAAGAGGGCAGACAATTACATGTATTGATTTCCTTGCCATGTTCCAAAGAGGACTGAAGATGGCTGGACGGGGCCTCTGTCAAAGGCAGGACAGGACTCCTGAGTCCCAGGCCAGTGCACCTGCTGCAGCCCAGCCAGGGGTTCCCTTCTGCACCTTCATCCATTAGAACTGAGACTTCAGGAAAGGGAAGTTTGATATAAATATTAATGCTTGGTTTTACATTTAATTTTGACCCTTACATTTTTATTATTGTCATTATCCCCATCGTCATTTGTGGTCGTGGCTATTCCACCTGGATTTGCTAGGCGATCTGCAGCCACTCACAGCCCCTTTCGGCCTCAGTTTCCTCTGCTGGTCAAGGGAGCAGATGACCTATCTGGTCTCTAAAACACTTGTATGTTTTTCAAATGTTCTAATAATAAAAATGAGTCAGCTTGCAGCACTCTAGCAAATTGCACAAAGTGTTTAGAGCCAATAAACTTATTAATTGGCCCAGAATGCAAAATATTTCACCTTCATCCAGAGCCAAATCTTAGATGAGAAAAAGACTTGCGAAAACCACACCAGCTTAACTCTGAGAAGCCACCCCAATTTTGTATCTCAGACAGTAGCAGCCAAACCAAGTTCAAACTTTAAGAATAACCAGCTCATCAAAAAACTCGGGGCAGGGGGTGGGGGTGGGGTGTGATGTGGAAGGTTATAGTTTTCAACTTATAAAACCAAAAAGTTCAGAGGAAAGCCAGAAGAGAAAAACAGATTGCATCTGGCAGAAGGGAAATATCCAATCAAAACCTGGCAGGAGAAAAAAGGAAATGCACTTAATTTGTCCAATTTCATTACAGGGGGAAAATGTGACATGTGATTCTGACTTAGAAACATTTCTGAAAACACAAAACTAAGATCCAGTTTCAACCCCTCAATTAGGACCACTAATTATATTCACAGGAAGAACATTAAGAAAAGTTTTCATTTATTTGTTTGTTTTGGGTGGGGGGAGGGATAATTTGTGAAGAAGAGTTGGCGAAGGAACAAAATGTAATTAAAAGACCAAGAGTCAAGACCCCAGGTTCTATAAATGGAGAAGGAAATGGTCACCACGTGCAGCTGGGCAGAGAGATCTTTACAATTTGGTTCCTTAAGTGGAATTAACATCCAGGTTTCTTTCCGTTCACCGCAGAGGCCACACTTTCACAAACTGTGAGGGTTTTCCTCAGCTAAACTTAGAAGCAGTGACACATGAAGAAAGTGACTGCCCTTGTTCTGATTAAAAATAAAAACAAAAAACTTAAAGGGTAAGTCAGACTCCTCCAGAGACTCGGAACACTCAGCGCTCACACCACCTAGTTCATCCATGGACGGTGACACAAACAGGTACGCCAGGCAGCCTCACTGTGGACATCACCACGCTCATTTGCTGACTCCCAAGCCATCATTAATTTGCTGGAAGAAAACTCTTTTCAAAATAGTGTCTACCAAATCAATTAGAAGCAGACCTGAAAACCTGACACTTGTGACAACATGCTAAGTGAAATAAAGGGAAAGGTAAACCCTGCATGATCCCACTTACATGCATAACACGGAAGAGCTGAATTCACAGAAACTTGAGACCCGGGTGGTGGCTCCCAGGGCCTGGGGGGTGGGGGAAAGGGGAAGATGTGGGTCAAAAGGTTCAAACTTCCAGTTATAAGATGAGTAAGTTCTGGGGATCTAATATAAAGCATCATGATTGTAGTTAATACTACCATATTATATACTAGGAAGTTGCTAAGGGAGTAGGTCTCTTATGCTCACCACGAAACAGAAATGGTAACTATGTGACGTGATGCAGGTGTTACCTAATGCTGAGCTGGTCAGCATTTTGCAGTATACCAGTGTGTCAAATCAACACACTGTATACCTTCAACTTACACCATGTTATATGTCAGTTGTATCTCAATAAAGCTGGGGGAAGAAACACTTGGAAAATACAACCCATAGAATGAGGAAGGAGGGATATTTGCAAATCATACATACAATCAGGACTTGCATCTAGAATAAGTGGAAAACCCAACAGTGAAAAGTCAAATAACCCAAATAAAAAGTGGGCCAAGGATTTTAATAGATATTTTCCCCAAAAAGGACATTCAAATGGCCAGTAAGCACATGAAAAGACGCTCAACATCCTTAGCCATAAGGAACCCTCAGCTTGCTGTCCTGGGTCTCTGCTTTACGGCTGCCCTGTAGAGACCGCCTGCCGTCAGAGAGACTAGACTTTGTGCCCAGATAAATCACTTACTAGCTGTGCGGCTCATCCTCAGCTTCTTCATCCGCAAATCAAATACTTTAAAGATTCTGAAATGAGATAATCCCTGTAGCAGGTCTAGATAATAC